AATTTGTACATCTTGCAGTTAGGTGTAACCAAAGCAGTATATGAACATGTGGTAGGCCACGTTTTTTGGAATTCAATGGTATTTTTTTTATTTAACATAACAATAAAAAAAAACATAATTGTTAGTAGTAGATATTATTAAATTCATGTTAATATTAACAATTAAATTCAAATGAACTAAATATATGTGGCTTAAAAAGTTTACCTGCCAACACTTATCCAAAATGTTTTTTCTTAATCAAGTTTTCCATGAAATAACGAAACTTGAGTTTAAATACTTGTGATAATATATCAAGCCTATCTTCAAGTTGTTGACCAGGCATTATAGATAAAGCTTGCTTAATTTTTGGCCATTTTGCATTACGAGTGAATGTGATGAACAAATCTGGATAGCCATAGTATCGACAAATTGCTAATGCATCTTGATAATTTTGAAATAGATACCAAAGACTTCCAGTAAATGTTGCAGGCAAGATTACACGTTTTCCAATTATTTACTATTATATATCACCTCTTGAAATAATGTTTTTCAATCCTTTGTAAAGTTTAGGCCTCAATTTTTTTTTTATTATCTCTTATGTACTATAATCTCATTTCTTCCACTATAGAGAATGAATCAACAACAAACTATTGGAATAATCTACCATGTCTTAAAAACATCCTCTGTGTAGGATTATGCTGTTGAACAACAAAAGTGTAATATTCTCTCATTGAAATGTTCTTTTTTTTACCTTTATTTTATTGGAGAGTCAACATAATTCATGTCTAGCATGTATCCGTCTTGTCCATGAGGAAATTATAATGGATACTACGTAGCCATTAAAAAAAGGTGCATCTCGCTTATTTTTTTAGCACTTCAGTTGTATGTTCAACAATAATGTCATGGTTCTTATCAAATTCACCTAATTCCCCAACAATTAATCCAGCAACTTCCGATCCAGTAAGAGTAACATAAGTTCTTTCGTTACTGTTCCTAACTTCAAGCAATCTTAATCGAACTAGGATATGGTCTGACACTCTGAACCTATCTCTTGCTTTTCTAAAAACTTTAACTATTTCGTTATTTTCATTAAGCATTTTAATTAAACCTTCTACTATAGATCTATCCACAACATTACCAGTACTTTGACGTGAAAAAATTGAGATACTATTAGAAGTTTCATTCTCAGTATTATAAAAAAAGAGTTGGGCAAAACTTAGATTTATGTCCTATCATAGGAAGCAAAAAGCCAATTCGATGATGGTTTTAACAATTTATTTTAAAGATGTATGGACCCGTTGTATTGTTTACACTATTATCAATTTTTCCTCTAATTGATATAAATTGAAACATAGATTTGTAAATGTTGATGTTGTCTCTAAATTTTTACCTTTATTATCTTCTTCATAATCTAATAAACAATTGAAAAATCTAGGTATAAGTCTAAACGATGGCAATCGAACCGTACCTTGTTGGTAGCATAATGTAAATGTAAAATACCTTATCCTTTGACTTGTTTCAACTGTCTCTTCATACCACATAAGAGCATTACAAAATGGACAGAGCAAGTTTGGTCCTCTAAAGTTTAATATTGTGTTGCATCTTCCTATTATGCAAAGAAAGAAAACAATGTCATTGTTAGAAGCATTATAACAGTATCACTTTTAATAAAAAAATTATTGCAAATAGAACATTACTTACTTCGAAAGCCATTGTTCCTTACCAGAATTGATGTATTAATGCTTTGTTCATGTCTATCAAACTCAGAATTTGCAACTCTATGAATAGCTTAATGTTTTTGAAAATAATAGAAATAGTGCATAGATAAATGTACACTTTAACTGCAAATTAGTTGTACAATAATGGAATAAATAAATAGAAAAAAGTAAAAAATTTGCAAATATTGAGACATACCTTGTACATCATTTCTTCCTTCTGTACTACTAGTTGAAGGAACAGATTGCATAAACAAACATTTCATAATGGGTACATCATAAAGGTTTTGTACACTCATTCTTCCTTTTGTAGTATTGGTTGTAGGAATAGACTGTGTAAAACATAAATCCATAACTGGTAAATCAATTAGGTTTCTTTCAATAATAAAATTACCCTCAATAATCCCGCTGCGTACAGTTTAAATGACATTGTTATTTGTTAGTACATAACTTTGTTCCATAGAAAACAACAAAGATTGATTGTCAACAATAGGTATATCATAAGGTATTTCATTAATATCACTACTATAGTTTAAACAACGATTATTCTGTTCATGTCATCATAAGGTATTTCGTTAATATCGCTACTACAGTTTAAACAATGATTATTCTGTTCATGTCTTCTTCTTTTTCTCAGACTTTCATTTGACATTGTGTCTGTGTAATATTTACAGATGTAATACATTAATTCTTATGGAAGAACCATACATAACTGAATGATAAATAATTAATTAATACAATTTTTGAACAAAAAATACAAATAAAATTTCTTATTGAACCAACAATAATTTACAATTCTATAATTAATATAGCTATAGAGGTAAGCTTTTAAAATATAAACCATATCTCTTTAATATAAATATGCATTAGCTATTCTACTTTTTTGCTAGTTATTATTGCAATGCAAGTGTGTTTCCAATGTGGGAATCTTATTAATAGGATCTCTTTTGCTTTTGATGGAGATGGCATGGTTTAGTTAAATTGTTATACTTATATTGCTCATTCATTATTCTTTATCTTAATGCAGCCGTTGACTCTTAATAAGGAAATGTATATAGATCCTTATATACCTAAATGTTACTTGCCTAAGTCATCGAAGCATTTGATAGTTTCTATGACTGAAAAAAGTAAATATATTTTTAAACTTCAAGCTAGGGGCTACTTCTCAAAATGCATATCTACTGCACTAATGCTATTACAGAAAGGACAAGGCTAGAAATTTTCTTTAAACCACCACAATTATTGCGTTATGTTGTGCAACGGGATAATGATTATTATTTATTTTGAGATGCAAAGAAATGTTCCTATGATCGTTGTTATTTGGGGTCAGTTTTCATGCCTAAAATTTAAGGGAAATTTTTGACTATTAATCGTATATCTTTTATCCTTTTGTTGACTAGTCGAAGTTTTCCAATAACAATGAAACAATAATGCAATGACCAATTTCACCCAACCCAACAAAAAATATAAATAGGAACTCCAAAATTCAACTTTGAAATAATTACTTAAACGGCTCATTAGATCATTCAATATCAAACTAAAAATAGAAATAATATCAAATTACACATTGAAACAAAAAAAGGGACAATAAACGTACCTTTATATCTCAAGTATTCAAAAATAGCAATACCAAAAATAACAAGTCCTCGACAAAAGAAAAAAAAATCAATCAATTAAACAAAACTTCTACTAGATTCTAAAATTAAATAATCAATGTTTTAGCAAAACACCCACTAAGTGAAACTGCAAAACTTTGATTTATTTTGGTTTAATGTTTTCTATCTAGCTTCGTTGCATATCAATCCAAAAACTCACATTTCTCGAAAAAATAAGTTAGGAATAGGGCTAATCGTTTCTACACACACCAAATTAAATAAAAACAAAGAGAATTACAGGAAAGCAACTAATTCAATTTTGAAGTAAGCACTCATTTACAGATAAAACATCTTGAGAGAATCAAATGATAGATCAAGTGCCTGGCTAGTATCATCTCACCTGACAAACACAAAAAAGGCCGTCAAACCTCTACTTATGCTCAAACTATCAGTAAATCTTTACCAAATCAACCACAATTTCAACTTGAAAAGCCAAAACTTTTCAATGATAATGCACACCTGTTTTCTATTTCATGATATACGTGCATAAGTATCACATAACTAAGGATTTTAATTTTGAAAAGATTTGAAATGGAGGAGATTGAGCTAAAGAAAGGTAGAATTGTCTTTGAAATTTGTTGCTTTCCAAAGCTATTTACGTATTGAAAAAGTTATAAGCTTTTTTGTCTTCTTTCTAAATAGAAATCTACCTTAACAAAATATCACGATGACCAAGACAACAACCTGTCAGCAACCACACTTTTAAAAATGAGATATCAAGTTCAAATTCTCCCTCTCAACCCAAAGAAAGATCAATACAAAACATTAATCAAAGTTAATAAGAATCAGTCTGGGAAATAAGGAAGGGTTAAAAAAAACCATTCAAATGTCAAAAATAATACTGTTTTGACCTAAGATATACAAAAAAAAAAATTATTGAGAATGATGACTATTAATCAATTGATCCAAAAAATTATTTTACTTTTATATATATTATAGATATTATTATTAAGTAAAATAAAAATAAATATTTATTGATAAAATAATATTTTGATTTTGGAACGAAGTCAAGTCCAATTTACACTATTGAAAACTAAACTTTTAGAGACATTATAGTTTTTATAAAATGAAAGATAATTTCATTTATTTATTTTTTACGATTCTTTTTATTGACTTTTAACATATTTTCAGTTGACTTTAAACGTGTAAAATTTAACAATAAATTTCTAAAAGTCCATTTCCGTAAGCAAACGAAGCTAGGATGTAACTCAAGTTAAATGCAAATGAATTTACTTTGAGATTGAGTTTCCTTAGTCCAGAAGAGCTCTTTGCCATTCCAATCTTCTTACCCGTGTGAAGTCTTTACACATTTGCCCGTAGCTTCCGGATAGATGTCTCATGGCAACACCCTCCTTTCTTGTTTTCATGCTTTCGAAGCTTACGTAAGCTCGGATTTTACAATTTAAGATTAAGTTGTACGCTAGTTGTGCTTAAGTCTTGACGCATGACATAGACACTATCCGGACCATATCGCCATGCATCTTCCGGAACCTGTTCAATACAGCATCCTGTTTCAACTAAATTATTATTCATTAAGTATATTATTCCTCATTATTCATAGAGCAACCAGACCTTCCTTGTTTCCAGTATTTCAACATATCTGGACTTCAGCCATTAAGGATCCAGCAAGTAAATTATTTCACACCATCAGTACCAATAAGGGGAGCATGGAGCAAAAAATATGCCATTGCTTTAGTCAATATGCATCCAGGGCAAAGCTCTGTAAACAAAAGAAAAGAATATACAGCTTTTGCTCGAACTGCGATTCAGTAGTACAACATGTGAATGTCTGTTAGGATTTCTACTTTTGAATCTTAAGAATCATCTATTGGAACCTGCCTCAACTGAAGACAGACATACCACTTAGTCATAGCATTGCACAAACAGGCTCAAGTTCTGACTTGAGCCAACACCATTTCATCCAGGTTGCAGTATCAATGTGCCGTTACACTCCTGTCCTCACTCCTTCCTCACTTCCAAGAAGAGCCATATTTTATCAACTAATTCAAACTAACAAACCCACTTCTACAATCAGGTAAAAGGAAAACCCTTTTGCATTTTTGGCTTCTTAAAACCAACTGTAAGGATAGTGGGTTGCTACTAAATATTTCCAAGACTCTCAACTGAATGAATAAGACTGACAAACCAAAGGCGCCACAACTTCAGCAACCATATTTTCGTTTTTTAAAGTCCTTGCCTTTGCCTGACCGAAAAGAAACAACTGTATACCGTGAATTACTAAGTTCTCGAGGAATAACAGCTCCAGAAGATTTTAAAATATCAACCAACTCTGGAAACAAATTCTTATTCTCCTCGTTCACAAAAACAATCCCTGTACCCTCCTCCCCTAGTCTAGATGCCCTCCCAATCTGATGGACATATTCCTTAATGGAACTGGGCATATCAAATACTATGACCTGTCTCACACCTAAAAGATCAATTCCACGACCCAAAACTCCAGTGGACACAATTACTGAAACTTCTCCAACTAAAAACAACCTCAATATTTCTCTCCTTTCATTCATGGACTTCTCCCCATGTATTGACAAAGCTTTAATTCCAGTGGTGATGGTAATTGCATTAGATAGGAGATCTGCCCCAACTCTGGAACCCACGTAGACCACAACAGGTGGTGCAAAATGTTTGCTCGTCAATATGTCAAAAAGCTTTTGCTTTTTTTTATTTGACTCAACCCAGATAGCTAGCTGCTTCACAGCCTTATTTGGCCTGTTAGGCTTGCCAATAGAAACAACAGTAACATCTTTTGCCATAGAACTTGCTATTTTCTCTATATCTTGTGAAATTGTTGCCGAATACATCAATACCTGTGGTTGTGATAGAGCCCTAAAAATCTGCATCACCTGGTCTCGGAAACCCCTTTCAAGCATACAGTCCACTTCATCCAGACCAAATATCTTTACATCATTTAGTTCAACATCATGCTTTGTTAAAAGATCAATAAGCCTGCCTGGTGTTCCAATAATAAGTTCTACTCCTTGCTGAATGCGGTAGAGTTGTCTAGCCATCGGATCTCCACCAACCACAAGTGCAGTTTTGAATGGCAAACCTTTTCCAAGCAACTTAGCATGGTCCTCCACTTGGATACACAGCTCTCTGGTTGGTGTTAGAACCACTGCTAATGGCCTTTTGTGATTTGAGAAGTTGCTAAGGCGAAAATTTGCACAATGAGAAATAATAGGAATCAGAAAGGAAGCAGTTTTCCCTGAGCCTGTGTCAGCTGAAACAAGCAAGCTTTTTCCATCTAAAGCAGCTGGGATTACTTGCATCTGGACAGGTGTGGGCATGCCATATCCAGCAGTTTCTATATTTTGTAGGAGCTTCTGAGGAAGACCACAGGAAGAAAATGCCAAAATGGGAGCAGGAACCGCATCTCCCTTGACGTGGATTTCAAGTTTCTTTCTAAGCAATTCAGCTTGATCACCAGTTAAAGATTGAAACCCTGATTTATCAACAGAATCTCTTACATAAAAGCACTCATCAGTAGCAGGTAATCTTTGAGTAGAGGAGGGACCAACTGGCAACAAGGAGTTAGCAATCCGGGAGAGTAGAGTTTGTTTACATTCCAAGCTGCAAATATCATCATCAGTCTCATCACATACATACTCACCATAGCGGCCACAAATAACACATTTAGGTTCCTCAGCCAGAGCATCTCTCTGCTCCGTAGAACTCTTTTTAACGTAATTATCTGCATAATAGATGCAAAACTCAATGTAGTAAATTGATAAGTTGAGCTTATGGTACCAAGAAGCAAACCAGAAGAAGAAAAATAATGTCATGAAATATTTGTAATTAATCAATTCCTACAACAAAAATGGTCACTTAAAATGCAAAGCCGAAGGTTTGCAAATTGAACAAACGAGGAACAGGTAACACAAAAACAAACAATGAAACATAATAGAAAACAGTAATTGACAGCTTAATTACAAATACAGACAATAAAAGAAAAATAAGGTAAAGAAATGCAGCTATATAAAGCAAAATAAGATTGCCCAGGTGTACGCTGCAAGAATTAACAGAAAAATAATTTATCAAGTCAAAACTGATGTATAATTGCTGATCCCTTGATGAACATCTATTTGTAAAGCTGAAGTTTTGCAAGAAGCATTCCTATCTCCATCCTCCATGATTTAAGTTGGTTAAAATGCCCTAATTGGCAGAATTAGAATTATGAAACAAGGTGCAAAGTAGAAGAAAACAGAAGAACTAGTCAGGGGACTTGTTCATCTGGTCTCAAAGTGCACAAAACTGCAAAAAAAGGTGATGTGACTTGAGTAACTAGTCATAAAGCTTGCCTATAGTTGAGATGAATAATATGAGAGATTAAATTTAACCATTTGACAATTTCCATCACCAAAGACCTTCATTCATATAGACCATAACCATGGAGCCTGAGGAAAATGAGGGTTTTACTGAATACTTTTACCCAAGACAAAAAGCTAAAGAAACTATTGAAAAGCTCCAACGGTCAAAAAAAAAAAAACTATAGAAGGTGCAGCCCTCTCTATGCAAAGACATTCTAGCACAAGCTTAATCACGAGTTTTTCAATCATATTCTAAAAGAAAGAAAGAAAAGGTTAGCTTCGAGATGTCCACTAGACAGAGGAAAAAGAATTTAGGCTTGAAGTTAAGGTCCAAGTAGGGACAAAAATATGCTCTAGTTCCAACCTTACCCGAAGAAAATCATGTTGCATAAGCCTTAATATTTTCCATTGAAGCCATCGCTTAAAGTAAACAATTAACAAATGAGTCACGTGCACCTACTTATGAATGTAGTATGATCCTTGAAATTTCCGTAGGTGTACGCACTACTTGCGAGTTGCATGCAGCCATGCACACACTTGTGCATGCATGCAGATGCTTGCACATGTGCACACACATTCATGAACTAATCATTTGAGAGACAAATGTCCTGCTGCAGAGCTAAGTCTTTAAAGCAAGCATAGACCATATTCATCTGAACTCCCTGCAAGGGATAAGACTCATGGGCTCCAAAAATAGTGAATAAAAAACATATATTAGAGGGAAGGTGAAAAGTCCAGCAAGTAGACTACTGAGCATGCAAGCAAATAGTGATAGTATTTATGTTAGATATCAGATCTCATAGATAATTCATAGATGCAAATCCTAAGATACCCTAGCATAGTAGCATCTACCTGGAAAAGAAAATAATGGAGTAAATTCATCTCCAACTATTGTGTCAACAAAAATAACAGTTTTTTAGTACATCAAATAAGAAAGACTTTTGAAAGCATTGGCAACAGATTGATTACAGTGCAATTCTGAAGAGCCATGACTTCAATGGCATATGGATTTCACTTAATTATTACAGTGCAATTCTGAAGAGCCATGACTTCAATGGCATATGGATTTCACTTAATTTCTTACTTGAACATTCTTTATTTCATCCTCTAAATAATTCTTTTTTGTAAATCAGTTAAACTATTCAATTTTTTCAATAAATATAAAGTATACCACTCAAGATGTCTTCCAATTTTGATCAACAATGCTACATAGATATGTATAATGATGATAATTTTCAACATCTTCCCAATGAAGGAAGATTAGAAGACTTTTAAAATGCTTCTAAACCACGCTTTTGAAACTGTTAAGTGCATACCTCTGTAGAAGAGGTTGGTGATCCAAACTTGCACCACTTATGTTGGTAATATAGGAATTTAAGTGTGGGACGTGCTGAAATTTCAAGTATTTATAAGATAAGCACTGCTCTTTCATTTAAAGAAAAAAAAAAGAACTATCACTCAATAAGCAATAAATTATAGCAATAACAGAATTAACATAATAAGCTAGGACCATGCACATCAGGCAACTTTAATAATGCAGAAAGCGATGCAGTAAAAACTTCATTGACAGTAAAAATCTTGCCATGGCCCTAAGAAGAGGCAGACTGGATAAATGATGAAACAACAAGAGAACATCAAATGCATCATTGCTCAGAGGTAATAAATGCTTGATGAGAACTGCACAGACTGTTTCATAGAATTGAACGGGAAAACAAAACAAAAACCACAAGAAATTAGTTTTAAAATGAAAGTAAAGAGCTAAAAAGAGAGACTGATCTATGAAGAAGAAAAAAAACTTCACAAGTTAAGGGAAATTAAATCAAATCAATGCAAGAAAAGGAAGGTGGGGCATCATCCAGGAACAGGTGCAAGACCAGAAAGACATCTAGCAACAGCACCATCTAACTTGGCACATTCTTCAGATAATAAGTTGAGCTTATGGTACCAAGGAGCAAACCAGAAGAAGAAAAAAAAATGTCATAAAAGGTCTGTACTTAACCCCTACTACAACAAAAATGGACACTCAACATACAAAGCTAATGGCTTGCAAACAGAGCAAATAAGAAACAGACCACACAAGAACGAAGAATGAAACATAATAGAAAACAGTAATTGATAGCTTAATTTCAAATACACACAATAAAAGAAAATTATCAAGTCTAAAGTGGCGTATAATTACCAATCCCTTGATGAACATCATTTTGTAAGGCTAAAGTTCTGCAAGGAGCATTCCTATCTCCATCCTCCATGATTTAAGTTGGTTAAAATGACCTAATTGGCAGAATTTGAATTATGAACAAGGTGTGAAGTAGAAGAAAATTGTAGTCAGTCGTTTGCAAAGAGCAGATGTGTGGATTCTTAAAACCCAATGAAACTTTTCTACCAGGCAAAAACCAATGAAATAAGATATGGGTTGAGGATAAGGCAGACATATGCGAACTACGATTGCCCAGATATAACAATCTCGAAGAGCCAAAGCCTTACAGAAATTTAAGGAAGCAGGGAAAGGAAGAAAGATGCGTACCAAAACAAAGGGATTCACAAAAAGAGCCTTGTCTTTCAACTTCCAACTATGAAAACTTGGGGCCTCAGTCTCGGCCTTTCCCCACCTCGGACGTCTGCACTTGGAAATTTAGCATCAGGATTCAGGAACAGGAAGACAGGAACTGATGAAACATAAGGCCGAAGCCGCCAACCCCTTCGAAGTTCAAATCCCCACCGATGACACACAGCTGCAACCTCAAACTAACTGAGCCCATGCTGTGTCGGGCCGAATTCCGCCGACCTACATGTTTTTCCATAGCCCAATTGGCTACCCATTCTCCGTATTCCTCAAGGAGTCTATAATCTTATATATAAAAGGGTAATTTTTATATATGTTATTGTATTTGATAATTCACACACTATTTCTACTGTGAATGAATTATTGTTAGTATTACTATCACTTGTTTATTACGCTATAAAAAAGCGAAGTACTGCCATTCTATCATAATGGAATACCCCAAAATCGGGATTGAAAAAGCAAAGCAATATCCAACTTGTTTTTCTTATTAATTTATGTAAAACACTTTTGCATTCATTTCTACAAAAGCAGAGCATACATTGATTTTCTTTTCTTTTCGTTAACAACAGAAAGTAAGCCTAAGACGCTGATAAGGTACGATACTCTTTGTCAATATGCCAATGGGAGGGAGCTCCAGGCCATCCGCTTTGTTGCAGGCGAGTTCCGCATTAATTATGTATTCATGTACAGCAACCAAAAACTTTGCTGTCAGATCTGCCATATAACCCTACAGATACAGCTAGATGCTCCTCTCCAACATTTCGCGATGTCTCTTCAATGAAAGCTGTTTCTGCAACCTTATTTGACGGTGGAACCTCCTTATGAACAAGTCAGCTACTTGGTCTATCTCGTCCTCCAGCTTGAACTCTTCCCCTTTGTCTTCTTTTGAGTTCTTCACTATATCTATCACTGAGCCTCCTGGATCATCAAACTCCATTTCTTGAGAGTCGAAAAGTGAGTGAGTGAGGTCTGGGTACTTGTCTTCCACCTCCTGATCATCCTGTCCTTCTTCATACTCCCCTTTCTCTTGCAGCTCCATCTCCATCTCCATCTCCATCTCCATCTCCATCTCCATCTCCATCTCTGTCCTTGTTGCACTCGGGAGCCACATAGCGCTATTACTATTGTAAAGCATGATTGCTTGGCTTTGCTGGTCTCCAAGTCCATCAGCAACACCGTCTTCTAGTTCTTTGGAGTTTCTGCTATTCTGCCCCATCAAGCCGTTCAGCTTCTGGGATATGGAGCTCATCAGAAGTTTCTTGTTCCGAAGCAAGGAGAATATGACGAGGCGAGTCTTGATGGCTTTCGTTTTGCTCTTGAAAGCCAGGGTCTTAGCCTTGGCCATTGTGGTTAAATATGTTATTATCTGCTTCAAGAATCCAGATGCTTTGTTCTTCATCTTCGCAACTTTAATTTCCTAGACTTCCCCAAAAAAGAAATAATGATTAAGATTGACTACAGTGTGAGACCGAGAGAGATTATGATAGGATAGCTGTGAAGAAATGAAGGGATATTGGGATGGAAGTGTGTACAATATCAAATTGTACGTTGGGAGGAAAAGAAGTGTTTTGGCACGAACGGAGAACATGAAGACTCAAAGGATTTATATAATGCTTAATGGGACGATGGCAATCCCTTGGTTTGATTGGAGTTTGCTGTGGCCTGTGCGGAAACAGAGAGAGAAAGAGTGGGGGCTAAGGAAAAGCAAAAGGTGCCAAAGCCGGCAAAGCGAAAGCAAAAGTGACAAAAGCTAACGACACGTGGCTCCATAACTCAGCTTGGATGATGGTTAGGTGGTTTCCGAAGCTGAAAGATTTGGCTGCATTGGATTTGTTTATAATAGTGTCAGTGGGGAAGAGCTGGCTTTTTCCTTCCTAGCCTCGACTTGTTTGATTTTCACGTATACCGAAACAAGAGAGTGACTGCTTTGCTAATTGCTTGGGACTGGGAAGGGCACTTTCGGGACACTCGCCGCAACCACACGCTGCTGCTCAATTATGTGCTTTATGCCCACCACCATTGTCCTTTCCTTGTTTACAATTTTGCCCAAAAAGCAGATCAGTACAATAACATTTGTCTCTGCTTTACTGAATTATACTTATAATATCTGGAAACTTTAGTCTTCTGCTAGCTTTATTGATTGTGGTTTTGTGGGGCTGTTGTAGTGACAAAAACAACCAGAGTACCTTGGCTTCAGCCTTTAATAATTAGTCCTAGTACTTTCCCTATGACAGAGCAGAGCAGAGGCTCAAGAGAGCTGGCCCAGTTGTTATCAAATTATTATTAATACGGTGAATAGTTTTGCTTAATCCAGTTGTGTTAGTCGTTCGACGCACGCGGCCAGTTGGTAAGCCAGAAAGCTACCGAGCGGGTACTGTGGCTTTGGGAAATCTAATTCCTGACAGTCAAAAGAGTACGAGATTCCCATAATGTTTTGATTTCAACTGCACATAATGATATGAAATTGCCATGATTCTTGTTGTCTGTCAAAACTTAACCCCTAAGTCTTCATTTTCATACCTTACTAAAAAAAAAAAAGATAAGGAAAGAAAAATTCTCCTTTAAAGAAGCAGTAATCCTGCTACAGAAAGGAACAAGCTGCTAGCAGCAAAAACATTTCCCAAACCACCAACAAATTATAACATAATAATAGTTTGCAATGTTGATCATATCCTATAGCAATATTCTAGTGAAAGAATGTATTAAAAAAGTGAGTGATGTCCGGCCGAGACCCTAAGAAGCTAAGGGAAGAGGGTATGCACTTCGTGACAAATTCCAACCCAAAGCTGTAATTGGAAAGCAAAAAGGGGTTACAGAAAGTAAACCTGTTCCCGTACCTCAATAATTTCAAAAGGGAGAAGAAAGGAGACTTCAATCATCAAAGCTCCATGTTTCTTAGATATTTCTCGTGCAACATATGTTGGATTAATTTAATTGTTTAACAGAAACAGGCAGCCCGCGTACACAGCCTGGCTACAGCTGCTTTCAGATTTGACTTGAAGCTAGGAATTGGTGAACCAAGTCGGGCCAATACCTTACCCCAAAAGAAGAAAAGTATAGTATTTCCTTTTTTTTCCTTTCCCATACATGATTTTTTCGTTATCTGCCAAACAGTTGTACAAGTGGTAGCCTGTTGTTTAGTGCAAAAGAGGAGTGCTGTCTGTCAGCCCAAGCACAAGATCAATCTGCTTATTATCAAAATGTGTTATTAATCTTCACCTTCCATTAGGAAAAACTATCGAATCTTTCAAACTAATGGTAGGTGAAGTAATTGATGTTGAGATGATTGACTGCATTTTCTTTAGTTCTTCTGCAGTTTCAGCTTGGTGTTTTGGATAAATGAAATTACTACTTGTTATCGAATAAAAAGAATTAAAGTTTATCAGATGAACATCGATATCGAATGAAAAAGACAGGGCTGACAGGCAAATGGCTAAGCTATTAAACTTGTTTAATCAGGGCAATCGTTGAGTCTGTGCTTTCCACAGGCATGGTAGCCGCTGCTAGCATGTGAAATGACCAAATGGGCGGGAGATTCTGCATTTGCAAGGGTAGCCACGTGTCCTGAGCGGTCGGTGGAGGGGTGGGTAATTTTCTATTCAAAGTTTACCGTTGAAGTATCTTTTGGGAGATATCTTTTTGATTGTGTTAAGGAAAAGAAAGCACCCTCCAATACTTTTTTTCAGCTTAAAACTGCTTTTACAAAAAAAAGGCTGTATCTTCCATGGTTACAAGGGAGGAAACTTAATTACATAAAGCAACTTGCTAAAATGTTTAAGGAGGGTTGAAATTCGAAGTTCAAATTCTCTGTCATTGCGATTCATGATGCCTTAATCTATGTATAGTTCATTTCTACATTCAATATTTCTTCCTTTTCCTTGCAAAATTCATGAAATTAAAACATTGCAAGTTGGTTGGGAAGAATTCGCAAAGCCAGTTGGGGTCATATACGCACCTTCTTATTGGTATACAGCTTCTTTTCCATAGCTGGAAATTCCATTAGTCTTTTTTAATTGCCCTTTATCTTTATTTCCCCATAGACACACTACAAAAAAATAAGCTTTTTTCGAAGAAATTTTTCGTTAGAAAAAGTTAGAATTTCGTTAAAAATACATATTTTCAACGAAAATTTTTGTTGAAAAATTCGTCAGTAAAAGTTTCGTCGGTAATACTTTCCATTGGAAATTCGTTGAAAAATCCTTAAACAGCTCACTATCAGTCATTAATTTTCGTTGAAAATGAATTTCCAACGAAATTTTGTTGAAAGTTTCAAACGAAAAATTCTATCAGAATTCCATTGAAAATTCGTCAGAAAAAACACAATTTCTTGTAGTGACATAATCTGCTTAGTGGCAGGCTGGCAGCTTAATGCCTTAATCTGAATTAAAATGAAAAATGCACTTATCTAATAACGGGCTTAAAATCAATGAGGACCTTATCCGAGCTGCAGCCACCAACATCTTTTGTTTCCTTTTTCATCTAAGTGACCAATCATGAACTCCAAATAATTCATGGAAAAACCACTAGAGATCAATACTAATAAAGAAGTGAGAAAAAGCAAAACCATTTTCCATAAATTGTTGGAGGATAAGGCAGCAGCTGGCCAACACGAATAGGAAGGGGAGTGTGGATCAAATGTTTGTTTTACCTTAATTTATAGAGTATTTTTCTGATAGGGAAAGAGGACATGATGCAATGAGTGAAGCGAAATTTGCTAGATGAGATACAGAGGAAGATTGAAGCAGTTTTTAAAGTGTAAGTACTTTGATGGTAAGCGGTGAGAATTAAGAAAAGGTAGCGAAAGCAATGAATTACGACGAATGGAAAGGGCTGAATAGAAAGAATGTTTAGAGGTGTCTCAAGAAAGCTTTCAAGATAATCTTTGCTAGGTTTTTAATAATTTCTTATTGTCTTCCAACCTCCAAGGCTCTCATATTTATACTGAACAGGAGCACTTTCTTACGAGTAGTTAAAGAGTACATGTTCAATCATGGAAGAACGTACTTGACATGGAAGAGTAGTTAAAGAATTGCTTATGGGATATTAAGAGAATGATCACATAGTTGGATAGTGGGTGTAAGTTTTGGGTAATAGAATAGTGACATTTGATAATATACCACGTGTATTTTTAAGGAAAAAGAAAGAAAAAAGGGTAAAGTACATGTACATCAAGGAAATGTTAAGATGAAGTCTTTTTAACCATCTCAATATTTGAGCCACCAATCTAAACTCTCTAAAACATCCGAAGTATGAAGGTAACTCATGAACTTTGTCACTCATTCTAAGTTATTTTCACTTTTCGGTAGAAATAGTTTTTCCATGCTTGTTCCTAGACGTTTCTATGCTTGAAAGGCCCTTAGACGCTTCTGTGCTTGAAACACCATTAGGTACTTCTGTGCTTGAAACGACCTTGAGCGCTTTTGTGCTTGGATCACCCTTGGATGCTTTCACCCTAGAATGCCCATAATGTAATTTTTTTTGTAATATTGTACTTCGAAAATAATAGTTAGCCAAAATTAGGCATCTACATTTTTCCCCTACATAAATATTCTTATAAGGAGTTTTATGCATAAAATAAGAAGATGTATATAGAAATAAGCATGACAATGCTTGTATATATATTTTGCTTTTAAAAAATAAAGAATAGCTTGTAAATTTATACATTTATTATTATTATTATTATTATTATTATTATTATTATTTGTTATCATTATGCGTTACACACTTGGAAATGTCCCTGAGCGTTTCCACACTTGGAATATTCTTGGGTGTTTTTTGTGTTTGGCTTTTGCATGAAAATTTTATTTTCAATAATAAAAATTGACATCAATTGTTTTGTTGAATTAAAGTCTCATAACTCCAACTTTGAAGCAAGTCAATCTGTGCACCAAAGAATCTTGATCTTGCCATCAATCTTCAAACCCTTTATTATGGGTTGGAAAAGAATCAAAGAATGATAATGCAAAGAAAAGAATGAGAGGAATGATGTAGATGGCTTTCTCAGTAAATTTTATAATTTGTATGTTGTGCATAATGCTGCAAGATTATGTGTTGTGCAGGCTTTAATGTTCACACAACAATTATTAGTTATTGTGTTTAAGTAATTGTAAGACATAATGTTGATGCATATATTAATAATGAATATAGATTTAACTGATAGCAGCCTGTTAAGATGTGTAGCTAGCTATGATATTATTTAAAAAATATATATTGTTTCTCTTAAAAGCAACGATAGTCTAGGCTTGGTGAAATACAAAAGATTGATTAATGTTAATATGGCATATTCTCATCTTCTAAAAGTAAGTCCTGTTGTGTTATCTATGCTTATGAGGGAGGTTTTCCTATAAACTGATATGCTAGCTTAAATTTTAAATTCTAAACTAAAGTATGATTTATATTGGAATATTTTTAAGCATGATAATAAGAATAAAAAGATTTGTTAAGAAAACTTAAAGTGTTAGACTTATACTAGGAAAATAATTCTTTAAAGTCTACTTAGAATGCCAATAGGCATTTTTGCACTTGGAACTACCGAGGCATTTCCATGCTTGGAACGCTTTTGGAGGCTTCCACGTTTGGAACAACTTTAGGTACTTCCGTACTTGAAACACCCCTAAAACACTTACCATAGTTATGTTTTAGCCATTTTATGAAAATTTTATTATTAAAAATAAAACTTTCATGCATAGTTGGAATATTGGATTAATACCAAACCTTGTGTGTAGATGAATTTATTGATTTACATATATAAAAAATCCTCTAGATAATAAAGAGTTCATAGCCTTTTAATGAATCTATTCCATTTGTTATTCTTTTCTATAAGACGAATATAATACTTGCCACGAGCTCAACCAGTGTGAAGCAGGGCTAATTGAAAACTATCATATATCCATCAGAGAAGCTCACTTTGACTTGTCAGTCAC